TCCAGCTGTCCTGAAGGAGCTCCCACATGGCCTCATTTCCTTCATGCTGCAGTCCAGGGATGTCAAACTGCAGTCCTGGGGGGCCGGAGCCCTACAGTATGTAGCTTAGTTCTTCCCCTGTTCCACCACAAATGCTTCAGCTGAAGAGCTGTGTGGTAATTAGCACAAGGAGTTGAATCGAGGGAGACCCAAAAATGTGCAGGGCTCTGGCCCCCCCAGGAGTGGAGTTTGACACCCGTGCACCTTAACTCAAGCCCAAACCTTAACCATAAGTAACCATACAAAATAAGCATAAAAAAGTCTTTTGGCATTTTTTAGTTTTTTGACTGCAGCCGCACATTTTTATGAAATTGAGTTTCCCCTTGGAACTGAAAAAATGGTAAAAATAACAGGTTTTTATCACATTGTGAAATATATACATGAGCACACAGACACATGCTACACTACACTGGTGTACCCTTTATGCTTACGGCAGGCTTTAACCTCCCCCAGCTGAGAGTACCCCCCCCCCCCAAAGAGTTCTGCCAAGCAGCTTGGGGCCCCCCTGTTTGCCCCTGTTCATAGCTCGAGGTCACGCCCACCTCTCGCCAGTGGCCTCTCCACGTCGCCCCCTTGTGCTTATTGGCTGCTTTGCGGGGACACACAGGAGTGACTGTTACTGGTTATTACTGTGGTTAATGGTCTATAACATGTTAATTCCCACTTACGGCTGATCGGATTTCCGCCTTGTCTGGATCTCGGATGTTCAATCAATAATGCAAAGGAGGGTAATCATTTATTTCCGGAAGGCATCATTCATTTGCTTTTCTTTTTTTCCATTAAAAAATATACAAATATGTCACGGACTGGTCAGACATCAGGGATAGGGGTGTGCCGACAGATCGATCGGTGGTTTTCTAAGTTGAACCGTTTATTCAGATGCGATCAGAATGTACAAATGTGAGGGGTCGTTAAAAAATTGAAAGGCTCTGGTTTATTTTTGGAAATGAGCCAACCTTTCCGTAAAACCCCTGGAATTGCACAGCCCAGGAGTGGCTTGTGTGGCTGACAGACCGGCTGAGGGGTGGCATCAGTAAATACTGGGGTGAGTTTGTGGGTTGGGGGCAGGTATAGAGGGCATGATGACTCACAGATCCCCGCCCCTCCTTCACTGCAGGTGACCACACTGGTGAACACCAGCAACAAAGGTCCCTCCAGCAAGAAGAAAGGGCGCTCCAAGAAGGCCCATGTGCTGGCTGTATCCGTGGAGCAGGCCACGCAGAACTTCCTGGAGAAGGGGGAGCAGATCGCCAAAGACAGCCAGGACCTGAAGGACGAGCTGATCGCCGCCGTGGAGGACGTACGCAAGCAAGGTGAGCTCTGCAGCCCGCTCGCCCTACGCCTTCAGTAATGTGACCATCCATGGGGCTCGAGCTCCGCCCCCGGCTGACGTGTCACCCTCCCATGCTCCGCCCCCGGCTGACGTGTCACCCTCCCGTGTCGCCGTACTAATTCCAGGCGCAAAGAAACAATGAGCTACCTTACTAGCTAGCTAACGATCGTTAGCATCTACATGATAAAAACACGGTACTTTCACCACGGCCCTCTTTAGTAAGCAGGGAGTGTCTTATATGTGAAAACATATTCATCTTCCCGATTCAGAGGTCCGCTCACGTTCTCCTATGTCCTGGCCTGACCCGGAACCTTTTCATTTGAATCCAGAACCCTTAATTGCCGAACTGGGTCAGCTATCAGTCTCGGGCAGCTCTAATAACTATGTGATGGGGGGTTTGGTGGGGGGTGGTTCAATTATTAATGAAGCTGGAGAGACCAGCTCGGGAAATGTGCTGGCTTGCAGCTTTGGAGGAGCACTGGGGCCCCTCCCCCGGGCACAGCGGTGGGCAGATGGTGTGAATCTGGGCCGGTCTGTACTGTAGGAAGCTGTGAGGCGCTCAGGACTGGCGGACGCAGCTTGGCGTGGGCGTCGAGGTCCGCTCCATTATTGGGTAGCCGCTGCGTGTTAATAGGTGTGTTAGCGGAGTGTGGTGTATGTGGTTAGATTTGTTTAATTAAATGAGGTGGTCATTTCATGCTGCGTGGTCTGTGGGCTCACAAAATCAGGACAATCTGTTGACTACATTATCATACGTTAGTTGCCAGTATTTGGTTCCTTTTGATAATCTTCCTATTGGTGGGAATTAAATTTTTTTCCTCCCCTTTAGATATTTCCCATGATTCCCCTGGCCTTCCCGGTTTCTCAGAATCGTCCCCCAGGTGTGGTTGGATCTGTCACCAGGCACCCGACACACCGCAGTCCCTGTGACTTGGTCCATGACCCGTTGAAGGTCTAGCCCACTCTGTTGGCGATTCCCCTCTTCCTGGGATCAATGGGAAGCTGCGGCTGGAATGATGGATGGGAAAGCGGCGGGTGGCTGGAGGCGGGGTGCCCCCCCGCAGCCATTAGT